AGCTGTCGCGGTCTGCAGCAGCTAGTCCGCTATATGAAGCAGCCTCAAGAGGCACACGCATGGGACAAGGTGAACTCTCGAGACAGAGCTCAATTGACTTGTCTCGTGCTGAGGCAGACGAAGTGCGACTCGGAGCATTGTCGAAGCTATCGCGATGAATTTGTCGGGCAGCGAATCGCAACGCATCATAGCAAAGCAACATATCAAATTGCAACTTACCACTTGAAAGTGAAGCTGCCCATGACTGGAATCTGTGCTATGATCGGTGGTGGAATCTGCGCAAGGGGATCGAGAGAATGCAGCAAAGAGTTAATAACTTTAATGCGTATAGAAGTAAAGTGAGATTTTGTTTTGTTTGTGGGAGAGATGTTGGGTTGGGAAAAGAGCCAGGTCCAAGTCGTTGATGGGACGGGCAGAGACCAGGACAAGTCCGGTTTGGCGCTGGTCGAGGCTGGGGGGGACTGGAGCGAAATTAAAGATTGTTGGCGGCTACGGGGGAGTACCAGCGACACGAGGAAAAGGCACAGACGGTACAAATCGAGAGCGCTGAGACCGCTTCGACCGGACCGATCGATGCAGGGATTGGTTGTAAGCGGTTTGAGAGGATGGCTTCGCCGGATGCAGAACAAGACAAGTATTGCAATGATACGCAGAGTAGATACGGTGAGAAGGTTGGTTTTATGGTGAGAAAGATAAGAGAAGCTCATAGAAGGAGTCTGCGAAAGCGGAAAAGATAGGTACCAAGGTAGGTAATAAGGATGAGGTCAAGGACGAGGACGAGGATTGACGAAAGGAGCAAAAGACGAGCACGTGGGGGTTTTGGTTTGGGTTTTGTCCAGCAAAATCGATGGTGATGCGCAACAGGAGGAGGAGGAGGAGTTGCAACAGACAGAGTCAGTAGTAGAACAGAGGCAGCGACAAGAAGAGATGAGTCGCAGACCGAGTCGGAAAGGTTGAGATAATTGAGGCTGTTATCAGGTATCAAAGAAAGAAAGAAAAGCTTGTGATTCCCTGGGCATGAGCGCGTCTCGATGGATCAGCCAAGCTCAATACCTACCTACTAGGTACGGGTATTGCTCCTGTATGTACTAATGTATGTATGTATGTACAACGCATATGGATCTGAAGTGACGACCTGACGGCAAGGCTGTTCTCGTCACCCAGCCTCCAGTTCTGCTGTAGCTGACGAGGATGTATCTTTGTCACTGGCATTCATTTCGTGCCGTTGCTAACAGGATCATCTCACGTTTTCCATTTCAACTAAATATGTTTCCGGTATTGACTCTGATGCTGATTTTGAAGATAGCCAAATGCGCAGTGTTCAGGTGGTCTAAAGTACCTACCTACCTACCTACCTATTCGGAATGATCCATGACAAGTACGCAACATGCAGTCTTGCATCTGCAGAGTGGGCATGTACGGTAGCTGCAGTTCGAGAGCTGTGGGGACTTCTCTGACGACATGTAAACTGTGTCATGGCGTTTGCTGGCGGTCGGGTTGGCTAGTGGGATTCTTCACTTCTGCAACGAACCGCATCCGGGGAGACCTCAAGGAGCACGCTGCACATCAACACGGTGATAGTGGCTGACGGCGGTTGAATATTCTCTCATCACCATGCATCGCATGCCCTTCAAACTCGTGAGACCGCCCTCTCAGATATAGCGCAATTTGAAAAAGTTGCACGTACTGTACGCTCCGTTGTCACCGGAAGCTATTGGATGCAATACTGGGGTAGCTTAGCAAGGTCGCATTGCCACGAGTGCCTGGCCTATGTAGACCTCATCATGAACAACGATGGGGCTTTCCAACGTTGGGCTGGATGAGGATTCCTTGTGAAGAGGTTGGTGAAGAAATCGCATTGATACATGGCGCAAAGCCTCATTCATTTGAGTTGAATGGTTCGCCGCTGTGATAAACCTCGAGCCTGATATCCAATGTCTTTCCTGTTCGCCTGGAAGAATTTTCCTTGCCATGGCCTCTCATACGATAGCCACCGCAACCTCCTGCATTAGTTGAGTGACTCTTCATGACAAACAGACCCATATCATGACAACTCAATCCTGCATCGTGAAGCTGGCGTCGATCCGATCAAACTAACACACAACACCAAAGGCGGTGTGCGCGGAAGGAATTATTGGTGCCCAGCGAACCAAACCAGGATCATTTGTTCCTGGATAGATACATGTGAGTCGTAGATCAGAACAGCGGTCAATGGAGATATCCCACGGAGTTTTTTCCTGGCCCGGAAGAACACCTGAGGATAGGTAGGCACCTAGGTATGATGGCAGGTGAATATCGTGCTCTCTCAGCATGATACCTCATATACTCACCTGTAGGTACCTACTTATGTACAGCGTGTACCTCATTGACCAGACAGGAACAGACAAACCTTGACGCCTACCCGATAGTTAGGCCGGTATTGCTTTTTTTATCTTACCTTAATTACCTAGGCACCTTACCTCGCGTACATTTTTTGCGATAAATACTTCCCTGACCCTCCTGCATGCACAAGGCCAAGTGCAAATTGGTGTCCATCAAGCACAGGCACAAGACCCTTTATGCAGCTATGGCTCTATTTACGAGGGTTATTTGGCTACAGAAGAATACTGCAAAAGCACCCACATCTAGCAAGTGGGCACTGAGGGTTTGCGGTCCAGTCATTTCGATATTGAGCGTATAAAGATAGTCAGCCATGTTTACCCTACAGCTCCTCTCTTGACGCAGACTTTGCCTGGCCTTGTTCTTGACCACTTTTGACCTCCTTCGTCTTCAGTGCCTGGACTTTAATGTCGAGTTTCGTCTTATAGTTCTGGGGTTGAGTATGCATAATCCAACCAACAACCCCGCCGTCTGAAGGCTTGGGCTTATACTTGCTCAAGTCCACAAGTTGATCTGTTATTTCACTGTAAGCAACTGTTCTAATCAGCTGGCTGGAAATGGTGGCATACCCTCGCATTTACTTGTCTCTGCCGTCCACAGAGGAAGGATCCCATACAAGGCTCCGGGTGCGAAAATGGCAACCTTGTCCTTGTCATCATCGCGATTAATATTGTCAGCCTCGGGGAACTGGACAACTTTCTCGATCTCATCCTCGTCGTTCTTTGGCTTCTCAAGAACGGCAAAAAGGGCCTTCCCCTTTCCATCAGTCCGTTCCTGTTGCTCAATCCACCTGCGAACTAGGAGAGGCATTTGATCATAGTTCATCAGCAGCAGACTTCGGCCGTTAAGGTGAGGATCGAGACCCAGCCACCCTCCAGGGTATTCTTTATCAGCGAAAACCGCTTTCAGGCCCTTCGACCATGGCTTCAACCCCTTGGGGGGAGGTTCCATCAAGTCTTTGAGGGTGTACTCTAGAGCTTCAAACTGAACCTTGGCCTCGCAGGTAGGTCGGAATGAGGCCATGGCATCCAGAGCAAAGGGGTCCTTCCAGTCGAAGCCTTGCACAAGCTCAACAGGCGGCGGCGGTGCCATACCAATTGCATGAGCGAGTCCAGCCAGCACAGCCGACGTGAACACGAATCCAGTGGAAGAGGTCTTCATGATGGCAATGAGATACGTTATGGACGGCAACTATTCAACGTAATTGAGAACCACCATAGGCAGAATTATGAAGTTGGCCCTGAAAATCTAGAATCTGTCTTCTTCCATGATATTTATGCTCAAGGGTCACCTCATGTTGGTTTCTAAGGTTTTGTTGTCCTTTTCGGAGTCTTGGTCGCCGAGTTTCCTTTTCAGGTTCATATCTCTGTCGATGTCAACAGGGAATAGTGAGTATTGTGTATCTGGACGAGCGACCTTAGGCTAAAGCATCTATGGTTGCACGCTAGGAATAAGTTGAAATTGCCACTCCCGGTTCCAGCGTTCTATAGCAAGAAAGCCATCATGGTGTCTGATGATGTTTTGGTGGTTTGGAGGTAGAACATCAGCCGAATAGGTAGCTAGTAGGCTTCACAATTTATCAAGCCAATCTAAGTACTAACCTTAGCTTACGGAGTACCTTTATTATGTATTCGTCCTTTTCAGGGGAACTTGGGAGCCCTGGTATAATTAGCGAAGTCCTTGAAATGCGATTGTCGTCATCGCGAGTCCGTTATGCCGTGTTGTTGTGGGATTTTCTTTAAGGAGAGGTGGCTATGAAACGAGAAAGACGCCGACTGATATTGATGTCGACACCAAACGAGTCACTGGCATGGCTATGCTTTGTCTAAAATGATATAAACAAGGAAGGAAATGTAAGGCTATAAGATCACGACTGCATTGCGCAATTCACGGGGCTGAATCAGAGTTAATAATAACTAGATACTCAATTAATACACGATCCGGGCTGAGCCATACTGAGTGAGACTGGTCTCATTGTTCCATTTTAGCGGCCTCTTTAATTGTGTGGCCCAAGCCTCTCTACCCTGTAATGCCGTGCTAGCCGGGATTACCAATTAGACGAAACATTCGTGCCGTGAAGTGTGCTCATTGAAGAGCTGAAGGATCATGTTCCATGAGATGTTAAAAATGGCAGAATGTGGGTTGTGTGTTACACCGAGCTCTAGGCCCCGACGATGGGTTCTCGAGTCCAGAAAAGGAGAGACGAGATGGAATGAGTGTTTCAAATGCGGTGATCTGCGTGTTACATGAACAGCAGAAAACAAATGCAGATCGCCAACTTAACTCAAATTCTGTCTCGTTCGGGTGCTCCCGAAGCCCTGTAACTGGCAACGGCATGGAATCCATGCACCTCGCACTGGGTCCTCAGCTAGTTCTAGACCTCAAGCTAATGGCTTGGTGCTGACAGGAGACCATCTTATCCATGCAATATTTCTGCTCCGCCCTGACTCTTGAAACCCTCTTGGACTGCTCATGGACCGGATGAGGCTTAGAGCCCAGGTGCCTGGCATGTAAAGTTGAATGTTTGCTTATTCCCCCCTACCTTAAAACCTCGCTGGAGCCAGGCGTCGCCAGTTGATAGAACACATCTGCCCTCGTGCACTCACATTGCAATCACAGTCATGGCCACAAATGCAGCAGAGGCTGCGACCTCAGAGAAGCCGCATGTGGCAAAGGCAAAGCGATCCTGGCCACTCTGGAAGAAGCTCACTGCCTTTGGCGTGACACTTTCAGTCATCATCGCTCTGGCTGTCGGACTTGGTGTTGGCCTCACTCGAGGAAAGGGAGGAAGCAACAGCGACGATACTGCAAACTCAGAGACCGACGATTCAACAGAACCCTATCTCAAAGCTCGTAGCAGTCTTTGGCAACCCAAAGTTGGAGCACAATGGCAGATTGTTCTCCTCAAGCCTATCAAGCTCAACAAGGACGGCTCCGCCAAGGACCTCAAGCCCAACGTTGGCATTTATGACCTGGACCTCTATGATAACGACGCCGAGACCTTTGCAGCCCTGCATAAAGCTGGCAAAAAGGTCATATGTTACTTCAGCGCCGGATCATGGGAGGATTGGCGCGATGACAAGAACCAGTTCAACAAGGCCGATCTTGGCAAGACTCTTGACGGCTGGCCTGATGAGAAATGGCTCAATCTGAGAAGCACCAACGTTCGCAACATCATGAAGAAGCGCATCAAGCTTGCTGCTCAGAAGGGTTGCGACGCCATTGACCCCGACAACGTCGATGGTTATGTGAGTAGTATCACTTATTCTTTCGGTCCGTAAAGTACTAACACGAGCCGTAGCAAAATGACAATGGCCTCAAGCTGACCAAGAAAGACTCTATCGACTACATCAAGTTCCTCGCTGCAGAGGCTGCAAAGTACAACATGTCAACTGGTCTCAAGAACGCCGGCGATATTATCTCCTCTGTTCTCCCCTACGTCCAGTTCTCAGTCAATGAGCAATGCGTCGAGTACTCTGAGTGTGAGACATTTGCGAAGTTCATCAAGGCCAAGAAGCCTGTTTTCAATATTGAATATCCCAAAGGTGCGCCCAAGGTCAAGGAGTCCGATCGCAAAGCCATTTGCTCGAAGAAGGGCAAGGCAAAGGGTACAGAAGGTTTCAGCACTGTTATCAAGAAGATGAATCTTGATGGTTGGGTCATGTACTGCACCGGGAATACCTATCAGACCGCAGTCGAGAACTGATGCACCTCGGCAAGTCCGTAAAGATTACATCTCATCACAAACATCACGATATATTCCAGATCCTTGATATGAAATGATGAACGTCCCATCGCTTTTCAGTGTTCTTTATTCTTGTCATAACCCGTGAGTCGTAATCCTAAGTACTTGTCTTTTAGACGTTATTAGCTCCAACCGTTGTCCACCATATTTTCATTTCCAAATTTATGTACAAGTTTCCAACGGTATAAACCATAGGGCATCTTGTCGTGCTATCAACTTGAAGCCCGCCAATGTCCGAAATAAGGGGTATCCTGATACTAACAAACCGCCCAGAACTCAAAATGATTTTCAACACTGATGAGCAACAAGAAGCTTGTGCTGAATCGGCGCTTTATGTAGCTGCCATATACTTGGGCCCTCCCTCTTGCTTGAACAGCCAGTCACTGTTGGCGTCGACCATGAAGTTGGTTATATTAAATTCATTTGACGCCCCCAAGCCCGTTCCGTTGTCGTTGGACGCGCTCATCTCGGCTCCTGGCGGCGCCGGTGTTCCATTGACGCCAGAAATATGTTCACCCCCAAACGGGAGTCGAGGCACATTGAAAAAGTCGAATACGTCAAGATACTCAAGCTCGTTGGGAGCCGGTGTCCTCGCGGGTGTGACGCTGGGTAACCTACTCAGAGCACTAGGCTGCCTGGGCTGCCGCGAGATTAGGAAATCCAAGTCAAATGCTGTGCGTCGCATATCAGAAAGGATTTTGACTGAACTGGGCGTAATCCCGTCACCTTGTCTCTCGCTATCGTAATGCTCATCCAAGACTCTTTGCAGCAACTGGGAATACCGTGCCGCAACAGGCCAGTAATGACCCATTTCACGGAGACTATCGACGAAGAACGGAAGTTGCGGTGAAAGTTTATGTTCAACTGTTGAGCCATGAACAAGGAGCAGACGAGCCGAAACCCAGAGAGTAAAAGCAAATGGTGGACCCAGCTTTGCTAGCATCCCATTATTCACAACAAATTCTCCGAGGGCAGCCACATTTTCAACTGCACCATGGCATCGCTGTGATGCGCTATATGATGGAGTGAATATGGGTGACCTCGTTGTAGGATAGGCAGCTGACGAGTGAAGGCGAATAACGGCCGTATGGTAGGTGGCATGAAGCATAACCCAAGCGCAGTTGATGCTCTTACTCCCTGGATGGAACAATTTTGCCATGTTCCCAAATTCACCGGGAAGACTGAACTTCCAGGATGTCAGCATGTTGTCAAGTTCCTTGTACCGCATCTGCCATTGTTCCACATCGCTCAAGGCACTAATGTCGACTGGCTGTTTAAGAAACTTGTGTATCTTGGATAGAATACCGAGGATTTCGATGTAGTAGGCGAATGCACCCAGGTTCTCTGGCTGATCAATATCATGACCGGGTGAACCAGAATGTAGGTCAGTGCTGAACCATCGGGTATCGACCTTTTGATTCTTGATCCACAAGTCATCGCGGCACGGTAATGTCCTGTCAATCTCCTTGTCGTCCAGAGCAAATTCAAAAGCAGTTGCAAGAGTCGCATATCTGTCCAGAAGATATATCATCCAAAATAGACGCCGTCTCGCCTCTTCCTCGATAAAATCCTTGGGTTCTGAGAGCGTCATGGCTCGAAGTGTATATATGGAAAGGTAATGAGGTGACACAGTCGATGAGGTGATTTCAACAGCGAGACCAAGCTGCACTACAGAACGAGTGATCAAAGCCATGATATTCCACCCTGGTGGACCGTTACTGCTCCCACAAAGATCAAGCGCCAGGATAACGAGAGCTTGCAACGCCTTGACCGAGGAGTTTTCCATGCCATAAAGTAGAACGCGTTCTTTGGAAACTCGGTGATAGTGCTCTCGCCGCTCCTCTGTTAGCCTAGCATCCGTCGAGTAGCGCATTGTGGTTGCAACTATGGCGTGGAGTAGAACTCGATCCGTTTCATCGAGGGCAGATGGTCCAAAAAGGCTATCTAGAGTTGTTTTACGGTGCAAAATGGGGCACCAAGTATTGATATGTTTGAAGTAGAGATCAACAAGTGCATAGAGAAGGTCGTAAGGCGGCATGTCTCGATCTGGGGTCGATGTGCCTGGAGCCGATGATAGTGGGGCCGTGGGTGAATGAATGTTGGGTTGCACAGACGTGTAATAGTCTTGAGTAACAGCAGCATGTTGCATGGGCGATAACTGGGAGGATGCTGCCACACCTGGCATCGACGCCTGGTTCTGACTCTGATAACCATCGTTCATTCTAGGTGTATGAGCAACGTTGAAATCGAGACTCTGTGTGCTCGGGGCAAAGTTGGAGCTGGGTGCCTTCTGACCAAACATGACAGGATCGGTTTGAGGTGTGCGGACTGGTTCTGAGGGTCGGAGGAGATTTGGGTGAGTATCCCGTGGAGTTCCTTGGTCGCTCGGAAGACTTGGGTTACTGTGCCGAATACTGGCAGCTAAGACGGGATGTGTGTTTGATGCCAAGTTACCATGGAGAATCTCAGCATGGGAGCGCAATATCTCCTCAAGCTTGTCGAGGCGCTGCTCAAGCTCGCGACCATAGCCCGCTCTTAAACCAGGCTTCTTGCGTTCTTTGTATTCGCATATAGCGCCATTGCGGCTACACCAGCCGCAAGATGGTTGCCCACGATCACACTTAACCTGCCCAGTGAGAAGAATCAGTATTGGTTGGCATAAGCAAAACACCAGGAGACAAGATCGTGTCACGGAGGGCATACCTTTCTTTGCTTACATAGCTCACATCTGGGCACAATATTGTTAGTCTCGGTGTCGGCGACAACCTGTAGATTTGAGGACAATGTGGATTGTATTTGTAACGTGGTATAGTAGTTGAGATTTTGTGAGGGCGGGGAGCATGAAGTATGAGGCGATGAAGTGGCCTCAGATGGTGGCATGGTGTTGATAAGAGAGTACAAGAAATGTAGATAAGACTCCAACATGATTATCAAATCATGGACTTATCAAGAGGACAAAAGGAAATCTTATCAAGACATGGACTCAACGAGCGTGCAAGGCAAGGTACGATTGACAAAGTATGTAGAGGAGGCGAACGGAGACAAGTAGAAAGCTGCACTTACGAAACCGAGACAGGACGCTTTCTCTTCCCATTACGACAGAGTGTTTCGTGGTCGCCGTGGTCCTCATCCTCGCTAGGGAATTGGTTGGCTTCATCACTGTCTGCTTCTGTAGAGGGCGGGCGATTTCCAACCGAGCCCTCGCCCGACATTTTGCTGGCCCCGTTCTGCATGGCTGAGAGTAAGTAAGATGTTGGGCTTTGGGTTCCCTTTTCCCCAGAGCCCTTGCCGCTGGCCGTGTGTCGGTACGATGCAAGAACGAGCTCACCAGCGGTCGTCTGAGAGTCGATAATAGTGAGGCCGAACAACAGGGGTAAGCTCAGGCAAAGCAAGCATGTCACGAGATGAGGGATAGCAAGTATGCGCACGAACGATGAGTCCGCGTTCGTTGCAAAGGGGACCTCGCGATCCGGGATAATGGGCAGCGGGATCAGGAGAATGATCGCCCGAGGATAAATAGGCCTGCCCCCGTACTAAGTACTAAGAGAATGGGTGTAGGACCCGGGCCGCAGCTGGGGAGTTATTGTCGGGGTAATGCAAAAGACTTTGACCAATACCGCGAATTACCGAAAAGCACGAATGCTCGCTGTTAATACGTATTATTTATGAGCAGCCCTGTTCCCCTTTGCCTATCACCTGTTTTTCTCGCTTTCCTCCTCGCTTTCTGCTGGCTTTGTGCCTCGGACGGATGGGAAGTGGCGCCGTGATGACCGGACCAATTTGAGGTGGGCCGAGGTGGACTCTGGGGCTAAACAAACTGCCAGAACTCGGTTTCGTCGGTGTACTTCCGTTGGCCAGAGCCGCAGAATAGATAAATTATCAGGAGTTGCAATACAGATATGAGAGACTGTTTAGGATATCGATTGATTTTTGATAATGAACCGGAGATCAAAGATGGTGAGGGAAAGGAGAGACACAGTTTGCTTGCACATGCAACAGGATATCCAACTTAGGCAACTTAGGTAGTCTAGATACCTAGTAGGTAGGATGGGCATAAACTTTCAAGTAATGCGGAGAGAAGGAGCTGATCTCGCACCGCACGCGTACCTGCCCAAACCTACTTACCTTAGTCTTACAAGCTCTTTCCTCAAGGGGTTGAGGCGGGGAAATCAAAGAAGCGGTATAATCTGATTTGTGGAATGAGGTATACAAGTGGATCATCTGCCGATTACATTGCCCCAGACCGGATGTAGCACATGCTTTGCAAGTTCACCCATGTCAGTGCAGGATTGTTCTGTTCAGCCTCAGAAGCGGTCACTGTTTTTGAGCTCGTCAACTTATATCAGGCTCAATGACCTTGATAGAGCTGGCGTCCATCAGAGCACAAGTGGCAGGGAATATCTTAAGCTGTCGGACGGAAGTGTCAATGTCTCCGTCCATAAGTATACCTTTATAAATATACCTAATGTTGATCGCTTTCGAGCCACGACTGGTTTTTCTTTTTACCCTACCCGCTAACTTAATTATGTCTGCTGTACTCCGTACAGTTGCCGACTTCTTATGCCTTCCCTACCTGGTCACCCCGCAAAGACCGGGCTCGGCTTTCAAGAGCCTCCACTGGATGCGAGCTTAGGTCTACAGTACCAACAGCTGACATAGACTTCAGGTATGACTACAGGTAGTAATAGTGTTAACAACCCTAGTGCTCAAAGGCAAACCCCCACTCAAAAGAAAAGAAAAGACAAGAAGAAGGGGGAAAAAAAAAGCTCACAACTTCCAACTGTCCCAGAAAATGAACCTACCTAGGGTAAATGTTGGGGACCTATCGAGTCACCTCTGGGCTGCATGATCATGGCCTAAGGTTGCCTCAAGTCTTTGTGGAACCCCGACGACGACCGAGAAAATATGGAGATGACCCTGTAATTGGGGAAGGTGTCATCATCAACACCAACTTCGGTGCA